ATATATGTTTTGTGTTGTTTTCAAAAGGAACAGCACCATTATATTCGAAAATTATAATGGAAATGGGAGGTCTAAGCAGATCTATGTTATAAAATGATTTGAATGATTTTTTATTGTTGAAATATACATATATGCATAAAAGCAAACTAAAACTAAATAAAAATAAATTTCCAGGGTTTGTATATGATTTGTTTTTCAAAATACAACTTAATTTTTTACCATGAATTGTTAACTTTTAGAGTAAGAATTGTTTCTCTTTTTTAACCAAAATTAAACGAAAGAGGAAATTATTATTGTTTCTCTCCATCCTAATATTTCTTTAATATACAAAAAAAATAATAAAATAAAATAAATAACAATAATAGTTAACTAATATTTTTTTAATATGCAAAAAAATTAACAAAATAAACAACGTATTTTACTTCTTTTTAGCTATAAGTACAAATCAAGGTAATTTTTTAAAATGTTCACTTCAACATAAATACTAATTAATTATTCTATTATTAATTACCATACTTAAAAATAAAAGAAGATAAATATGACAGTAACCTAAAGGTTCAGAATAAAATTTCAAAGAGTTAAAATTGAAAATCTAATAGTTGAACGGTGGATTGGTAGGGCCACTGACCCATATTTACAAAATAGAATTCAAACCTCACTATTTTTACAAAGAGAATCCAAAAAGACCCTATTCTTACAAAAAAAAAAAAAAAAAAAAAAAAAAAAAAAAAAACTCTGTAATTAGACAAAGTCATATACAAGTAATTAAAAAGAAATCTAAATATCACAAGAACCTGAGATCGCAGTCATTGTAAAAAGCATGAGCTCCACTGCCACGCCCACAAGCTCTCAGCAGAACGACAGCATGGTCAAAACAAGCAACACAATTGGTGGTTGAGACATATCCCCGGCATGAGGCAAGGCCCCAAACTGCCTCTCCATTGATCAAAGTTCGTGCAACAGCATAGTGTACACGGTTCAACAACAGCTGCCGGCGGAGGTTAGAAAGGGTGGTGTTGACATTTTGGAAGAAATATTTTGCGTTCATACCGTAAAATTGACTACAATAATATCTCACCATAGTGCTATTTCTATCGGTAGACTGTGATGTCACTGGCTTTGCCATGGATAGGAACATCATCACCACCATTAGACTAGCCAGCAACCATGAGAACCAGCTTTTTTCCACCTGTTTCATGTTCATCTTCTGTACTTCTGTTATTTGGGTTTCTTCTTAAAAAATTGAAGTTTGGGTAATGAAAGAAGACAAATGTTCTTAAAAGGCTAAAATATTACAACGGTCAACAACGGATGTTGAAAATGGGTCTTGTAATTTTGACTTTGAGGCATTTATATAAGGGTAAAGTAAAAACAATCGTCAATTTCACGTTAATTTTTTTTAGTAATTAAATTCATATATCTTTTACGTAATTAAAATATGTATTTTTTTTTTGGGTTACATTAGGGCAATCAATTAAGGTTAAAACGTGTAAGATTCGAATATAAATTAACCTTTTTTTTTTTTTTTTGTAATTCAATATCTTTTATTTTTCCAACAATACTATTCATCTTTAATGGTAATTATTTACTATATCTCTTTTCTCTTTATTAAGCTGTAATTAAGGTATTTCCGCTTAATGTACTTCTGATTTAACGTAAAGTAAAACTCATGATTAAGTCATTAAGCTTACTGGGCTCTCCTGACAAAATGGATGTGGAGGTTTAAAACGGAAAATGACTCTCTTTGGAGACGAGTGATTGGTAGTATTCATAGATGTGAAAGGAAACCTATTCACTCTTGGGCTAAAAAATCACTCCCGGGCACTTGAAGTAGTATTGTCAATGTCTTCTCGACACTTGGCAATATTGATATTGATGTTTCAGATATTTTTGAATTTCAGGTTGGGGACGGAAAGAAAATTTTGTTTTGGCTAGATGACTGGCTAAAGAACGGGACTTTGGCAGTGAAATTCCCTTCTTTATATGCGTTAGACTAGAGGAAAACTTATCTTTTAGGTGACAGATGGGTGAATGACGTTTTCTCGTGGGCTTGGAAGCGGAAACCCAACAATTCTCAGGAGCTGCTGGAATTGAAATCTATTTTTGATGTTACAAGGATGGTTGTGAGATCCAATGGGCCCGACACTTGGAGATCAAGGTTAACTGTCGATGGT